TGCGAGATGTACGATATAACTATCAGGAAAAAGATATTTCGCGGTGGAATTTTGTCACCTTTACTCTGGGTTACCACGATTAATAGCCTCCTAAGGACCCTAACCGAGAAAGGACTTAGATCTGTCTGCTATGCAGACGATATCGTAATACTTTTAAAGGGAAAGGATCCAAATTACTTGTGTAGAAGAGCTGAGGAGGATCTGAATACGGCCTTGAGCTGGGTTCAACCAAGAGGCCTCAATGTTAACCCGGCGAAGATGGAAATCTGTCTTTTCACAAGAAAGACAAAAATTTCTACGTATACTGAACCTTGCTTCCTGGGCAAGAAGATACCGGTGACAGACAAAGTTAAGTACTTAGGTGTAATACTTGACCGGAAATTAAAATGGAGACACCACATAGAGGATAGGATTAACAAGGCACATCGGTGCTGGGCGATATGTAGGAGAACCATAGGCATGAAATGAGGTCTTAGTCCTACTATTGACTTTATAAAAGTGTAATTAGACCAATTCTAGCTTATGCTTCAATAATCTGGTGGACTGCTTTGGACAAAAAGTGTAATATCAAACTACTACAGGGAGTTCAGCGTACATGCTACTTGGGTATAAGTGGTGCCAAGTGTACTGCTTCAGCCAAGGCTCTGGAAACGTTGCTAGATATTCCACCCATTGAAACATATTTAAGGTATGAGGCGGCGCTTACAGCCGAACGGCTCTTTACTTTAGGCGAACTGACCAAAAGCGGTTATAGGACACGTCATCAATGTATACTGGACACATTGGAAGGTTATACACATTCATCGGACGTGCCTGATCGCATACCAGACACTGAATATGTCGGAAACTTTGAAACGCTAATCCCAGATAGAATGTCTTGGTAAAGCGGAACATTAGAGCAAATACCAGTAGGAATCCGTTGCTACACGGATGGCTCTAAGAAGTACGAGCAATAACGGAATGTGTAAATTGGTTTAGAATAAATATGGCGCCCACAGCGCTTAATATATTTACCGACAGCCAGAAGGCAATTAGGGCGATATCAGGTGATAGAATTAAATCTAAGACCGTATTGGATTGTAAGAAAGCTTTAACTGAATACTCTCCCAGAGGTAAGGTTTACATCATATGGGGACCAGGCCACTCGGGAGTAGTCGGCAACGAAAGGGCGAATGTAATAGCTTTAAAGGGAAGGGAGCTCGATGTAGTTAACCTGACAAACGCAAAACCATTCGACGCAACAAAAGCTGAATTAAAAATATGGATGAGAGAATCCCATAAGGCCTCTTGGAATAATGAAACGATGGGTGGAACCACAAAGATTCTATGGGGTGACCCTGATGAAAGCAAGATGAGAAATCTCCTCAAAATGAGCAAGTCTGAGTTTAGTATGATGGTACGTATTCTGAGTGGACACACAGGATTACGTGCATATCTATACAAAATTGGACGTGCGGATTCAGACGAATGTAGAGCATGTAGAGAGGACAGTGAAACTCTGGAGCACTCTCTTTGCCACTGTCAGGCATTCGTCGAAGTTAGATCCAAGTATCATGGAAAATATGTTATTCCGGAAATAACATTCTTAACCAACACTGATTGAAAGATTCTTAGGAATTACGTCCAGGAAACTGAGTTTCTGAACATGGAAAAATAATACATTATGTGAACAATTTTTTTTCATGAATTGGAGCGCACAACAGTCTCGATAGTGGCCTAGTTGTATTTCTTCGGATTTGATGTAGTATACATCCTCCTATCAACCTAACCTAATATACTCATTAACCAAAACGGAACTTAACCACAAAAACATAAAACCCCAGGGAACGATGGTATTACCCTGTTAGCGTCACCCTTTCCCTACCTTTGCCATCGATTAATATTCCTATAATGGCCCCTTATTTAATCCAAACACAATTTCCTGATCCTATTCACAACTTCCTACATACTTTTGCATCAGAAATCCCTTTAAAGAAAATTAACGGGACATTCTTTTAAATACTTAAACACAATTGACAAAATTTATTAAATGAACAAAAAATAATTAAAAATAAACCAAAAAAAAAAAACAAGTAAGAGTGTTATATTCGGCTATGCCGAATCTTATATACCCACCATCAAACCTCGTTTGAATCGAATGAAACTTATGTCGAATTTCATCTATATACTCGTATTTTTAGGCCAGTTATAAGCGTTAAAGTAATTTTCTGAAGGGGACCTTATATAGGCAGGTAGGGTCAATTATGGGTCGATCCTCATAAAATTTGGTAGACAGAATTTGGTTCGTATTAAATTTATTTGTGTCGAATTTCATCGCTACACTCGTATTTTTAAGCCATTAATTAGTGTTGCAGTCATTTTCTGAAGGGGACCTTATATGGGGGGTAGGATCAATCATGGACCGATCAACATAAAATTTTTTAGATAGATTTTGACTCATATGAAACTTACTTATGTCGAATTTCATCTATATACTAGTATTTTTAAGCCAGTAATGAGCGTTAAAGTCATTTTCTGAAGGGGACCTTATATGGGGGGTAGGGTCGATTATGGACCTCATAAAATTTTGCATAGTGATTTTGAATCACAAGAAACATACTTATGTCGAATTTCAACGCTTTATTCGTATTTTTAAACAAGTTATGGCTGTTAAAGTTGCTTTTCGAGGGGCCACTTGTATGGGGGCTATCCGAAAACGTGGACCGATATTGCCCATTTTCAATACCAAGTAAACCTTACCCATAAGAAATATTTACGTGAAATTTCAACCATCTAGCTCTTTCCATTCGGACTCTATCGTGCTTTCAACAGACAGACAGACGGACGGACAGACATGGCTAGATCGTCTTAGGATTTAATGAGGACCCAGAATATATATACTTTTGTGGGTCTATTACCAATATTGCGATGTGTCACAAACGGAATGACAAAATCAATATACCCCCCCATCTTTTTTGATGGTGGGTATAAAAATAACATACAAAACATAAAATACAAAATGAGACCAAACACAAAAAAAACGAACTAATATAAGGATAAAACCAAAGCTGTATTACGCAGAATGACAAATTCTATCAATTCTGAGTACCAAAAAAACACAAAAAAAGGTCCTTAACACATTTTCCTATTGAGCTCAGTTGAATAAATTTAGTTTAGGCCTGTTGGAAAATTCATTCCTGTTTCCTGCTTCTCTAACTTTATTACTCCAATTTTATCCTTTTACAAACAACAACATACATTAAACATCTAAACCTATACTTAATACCTTAAACTATACTTATATACGTTAAAATCTTTATTTTGTTTTCAAATGTTAAAATTTTCGTTTTCCTTTATTTTTTATATTTATGTTAAAATCTATGTTTAAAATCTATTATTGAACGTGATATTGTTCAGGTCTTACGGATAGTACTTTCTCCCCTGCCTAATACAATTTGCCTGTGGAACTTGATTTAGGACAAAATTTAAAGGATTAGAACTAGACTTGTTCCCTTTTATGTGTGGTGGTGTATTCCACTTCCAAAAATAACCCAATTGGGATTTTTTTTCTATTTTCTTCCCTTTTTATAAGGATGCCACTCGAGACAAATCACATACATTCATACATACATTTGGATCGTTACTTTTCCTTTAAATTTAAAAAAAATACTATGTCGTGTGCACCCTGTAGTAGAGCTACCAAATTAAAGAAGAAGCACACAAAACAGGTGGCAACAGTAAGAAAAGGGGAATTTTTTTTTGTATTTGAAAAGAAGAAGGAATTAAAACAAAAACAAATAGCTTTAGAAAAAAAATTGTAAATAGGCAAACAAATTGCTGAACAAGTTGTTAAAGTTAGGAAGCCATGTTGGTAACCGAGGTTTCTCGGTTCCTTTTTGATTTTTGCTCGGAGAGAAGAAGAAGGTGGAGTCTGTGGTCATCATAAAAAAAAACTAAATTTTGATTTTTTTTTATAAATTAAATAAAGTTTATTAAAAAAAAAAAGAATTTTTTTAAAAACTTAAAGCTAAACTTAATGCTAAACTTAAAGCTACACTTAAAACTAAATCTTAAAATATAAAAATAAAAACAAAAGAAAAACGAACAAAACTGCAAAGCCACTGCAACACGACTCCATCCAACGAGGGAGAAGCTGTTTTCCAGCACCACCACGCCTGGGGTCCTCTGGTATCAGTTTTTGGTTTTCCAACTAAGTAATAGATTTTACCTGGACGACAAGACGGACGGTCAACTATTCCTTTTCTTTAGAAAAAATTCTTATTAGTTAGGATAAAATATCTTTATACAATAGGAAATCCTTACCCCGTGTTGTCGTATCGTCGCCATCCCGCGTGAAGTTCCAATTATATCCACGCGTGCGCGAACATTAGGGTAGAGCTCTGGCCTAGAATATAGTAGTTTACGGTGTTTGTTAGATAGTTAGATAGTTTCCTGAAAATAAAAAAAAAAATAGAAAAAAATAAATAAAAGGAATAAGGTAAAAATAGATAATATTTTGTTTACTTACCTGGTTTACCCGAACGGACCTTAATACGGACGGACAGGAAAGCCTCAGCCGCCAAAAGAACTCTTCCGCTCTATAGTTGCCTCCAGTAAACCAGCTAGTTGCCGCAGAGAAACAATTGCTAGATCCCGTTTATCCCCAAGCAGAGAAATTATGAACTTTTAAGAAACGTAAACATAAATTTGAGAACATAAATTTAAAACCTAAATTTAAACCTAAATCTAAACCTAAAACTAAATCTAAACCTAAACATAAATCTAAAACTAAAGCTTAATTTTGAATTTTTAAAACCTAAATTTAAATTTAAATCTAAAGCTAAATTGTAATTTTAAATATTAAATCCTAAATTTAAACCTGAAACTAAATGTTAAATTTTTAAAACCTAAATTTTTAAAGCTAAATCTGAAATTAAAACCAAACGAAATTTTAAATCTAAATAATCTATTGTTATTGTTAAAGTCCGTTGAAATTAATTTCGATAATAAAGACTAAATTTTATAATGTTTAGATGAAATTTTAAAAAGTTTTAATCATTTAAAATGATCGGTTAAACAACATAAGCGGCGGTAAGTAGGGAAAGGAAAGTTTGCAGGGTAAATTTTGGGACATCCCTAATATTAGGATGTCATGGCGGTATTATCCAATCCCGAGTGGGAGGGTTTATCCTGGCACAACATCTGCCAGCCGTTATAGGTCGTAGGTACGTTTCATCAGGGAGACAGACAGAAACCTACTCGGTGCCCCTTTATATTTTATTTCGTTTATTTCTTTTAGTTGGTATGGTTTTTATGTGTGTGTGTAGTTGTCTAGAGTGGTAGCAAGAACCACCCCCATACGGCGAGCTCCAAGCCCGGCGAACGCGAGCATACCAGCGCTGCTACCACCCTGGCAACACTAGTTTCTTTTGTTTTGCACAACCACTACACTACATAAATGGCGCCCAACGTGGGGCCCGAGTAGGTCCATAGCCTGATCATTAGTCAGTTTTCTAATCCTATTTAGTCATGTCAACGTAAGTCCTGTTAGGTCATACCTAGAGTCCCTAATTGTTGCGACGTCGTCGGACGAAATAGTAAATTTAGTTTTTACTTCTCTCCATTTCAATAGATGGGAAGCTATAATTGCTCATGGTCAATATTGTACACACCTACGTAAGTCCCGGACAACAGGACATTTTAGTCTAGTTCGCGTTGCGACGTGTGGTGTGAACAATATGGTCATGCAGAATTACAGATTCTTCAGCCTATCCTTTCCAAACAATTTGAGGCTCTCGGAATAGCTTTCCATAACAAATCTGAGAATGCTCAAGTTGTGAAGAAAGAATAGCTAAGGCCAGCCCCCTTTTTAACAATAATCCTAATGGTATTTGTTTGAAAAAAAAATGTATGTTTTGGTCCTCAGTAAAGTGGTTAGAGTAGTCCTAGGAGTTATAGGATAGCCAACCAAAATTCTAGCTGCACTCTAATCTGGAGCTGTTGGAAACTAATGCCATGTTTTTTCTGCCCATTTAAATTTCATTTAATGTCTGCATCTCCTGAAACCAGAATAGAAAAGAAACAATTAGAAACGTATCTACGAACAATAATACATTTTTACATTACCTGAAAACTTTACTTTCCTGAAATACACCGCCGATAGTAAGATTTTATTTAATTTGAGATTTCAAGATTTATCTTTGGTTCTTTTGGATTTGGATTTTGAGTTTTTTTGTAGAACGTTTTAGCTTTGTCGTTACGAACGTTTTGGATTTAGTTTTTGAATCTTTACTTCCTTTCTTTAGAATTGATTTTTTTTAGTTTTCCTTTGGGAAAGAGGAGGAATTTCTTCTAGTATTTTGCTAATATTTATCATAGAGATAAATAGTTTTTTTTACTAGCGGTCTGTTATATATACAAATCTTCAATTTGATATTTTATTATATTTTGTTATTTTGGTTGAGATTTTATTGTGGGGTCATTCCGCCAACTAGATTTCTATTCATTAGGAATGGTCTTAACTCGCTCGGCTAGGACTCGTGTACAAACTGAGCATAATAATATTTCCAATATGGAGAACATTACACGCACGACTGCAGGAACTGTAGTTCCCACGGCGCATCCGACGTATACGATTGCCAACACAGCTACGACAACTACTACCTCTGCATCGACCGTCATGCCGGCGGTCCAACAATTCATGTCTATGGCCCATGAACGTTCTGGGTTTTTAAATGAGTCTGCCATCTCCAACAGCACGATTACATCGCCTGACTACAGCAGTATCACCGCCAGGAATGTGCAACAAGAGTTCCGAGCAAATGTCCCGCCGACAGCTCCTCAACCTGTTAACATCGTCACCACAGGAGGCGATATGTTTACTTTTGTGCGGGAGGAATTGCAACGACAAATACGGCAGTTGCGAACCGAATTGCAACAGGAATTCGGCAATGCTGCTGCTCCAGCTAATCCGCCGATATCGGTCCTTCAACCAACGGAGCCGCGAACATCTGTTCGACAGCCAAATGCAGTGTTTAACCATCAGCCTGTAGAGCAGCAACCACCTGTTAGGCAAGGAAATGAATCAACTACATCAACCTCAATTGTACATACCTGCTAGTAATTACCAGTTGCAAAATGATTTTCAACCAACCCAAGGACAAGCAGCTAACGCACAGCCGCATTATGTACCACCAAATGCAAATCCAGTTTTTCCAGCACCAATTCAATCCTCACAAGCTCCAAGTTGGCCTACTGACGGCGCATTCGCCGTTCAAAGAAAGGTGGATTTGTCCAAATGGGGCATTAAGTTCGACGGAACCTCGAAGTCCATGAGTGCTGAAGATTTCATTTTTCGAGTAGACGTTCTAAGACAGGACTACAACTGCGCGTTCAATGACGTCCTACGAGGTTTTAATCATCTGCTAGAAGGCCAGGCGCTGGACTGGTATTGGAACCTACGTAAGTTAAGGCCAATACAGTCCTGGGATGAGTTGATGGGAGCATTCCTTACCCAGTTCCGAAGATTTGAGAACGAGTTCCAGTTACAAAAACAAATTATGGATCGTCGCCAGATGCCGATGGAAAGCTTTGAAAGTTTTTACAATGGTGTGATGAAGCTAAGAAATCAACAGCGAAACCCCTATTCTGAACGAGACCTAGTGGAGATTATGAAAAGTAATCTAAAGCCGTCATTGTCACATCTACTATTTTCCGTGACCACTTCTAGTCTCAATGAGTTCTGTCAACAGGCGAAAAGAGCTGAAAATTTAATCACCAGTCAGAGGCAGACTTTCCAGTCTAGACAACCCGGCCCAGCTCGAGTCCATGAACTCCACTTCGGATATGAAGTGCCTATACCAATCCTCGAAATCGACGCCTTAGCCACTAGTAGCCGGTATATTTGCTGGAATTGTAAGCAGCCAGGCCATAGTTTCGTGGATTGTCCTTCACCTAATAGACGCATATTTTGTTTTAGATGTGGTAGGGATGACGTAGTCACTCCTAAGTGCCCTAAATGTCAGGGAAACCTGAAGGGGAGCGAGTCCCAAACGGGGGAGACTCGTTCAACCCTAGCTTAATCCCGGTTGACCCTGGTATCGAACACTTTAGACCGACTAAAATTCTAGTTAATACTGTACGCATAATGCCTGCCGATGAACAACCTAAAGTTCATATAATTAAACCGCTTCATCAAAGAATTCGGGAATACGCTGAAGCAAAATCTAGGATTTTTGGTCAAGTATCGAATAGAATTCAGAAAGCTAGACTTAGGTATAAAATTAGAAAGAAGATCAAGAATGAAATTTTGTCTACGAGTTTGTATGAGGGCAAGGATGCTAGACTTTATCTAAAGAAAAATATAAATGGTTGTGAGATTGATGGGCTGTTAGACAGTGGAGCCACGGTGTCTTGCCTAGGTAAGGGCTGCATGGAGTTAGTGGAGGAATCCGGTCTTCAAGTTTTTAAATTTTTGTCCTATGTAAAAACGGCCAATGGCAGTCCACATAGAATTGTTGGACGAGTAAAAACCAAAGTTAATTTTAATAATTGTTCTAATGAAGTGACTCTATATCTAGTACCTACTTTAAATAGGCCTCTATTTTTAGGGGTAGATTTTATGAAAAGTTTCGGTCTGTTTCCTAGTATATGTAGCATTACTACTAACGGGGTTAATTTGTGTCCGGAGTCTGAGGAGACGAAGGATGTAACCAAAACCCATATTCTTACTCCTGGGCAAAAGGCGGCATTAGATGTGGTGGTAGCAAAATTCCCGTGTTTCTCAAAGAAGGTACTCGGTCAGACTTCCCTCGAAACCCATACAATCGATACCCGCGACGCGATCCCAGTGAAGGACAGGCATTATTCCGTCTCACCGGCTGTGCAGAAGTTAATGTATCCAGAGCTGGATAGGATGCTTGAGCTTGGGGTCATAGAGCAGAGCGAGAGTCCTTGGAGCCATCCGGTTACTCTCGTCCGTAGGGGCGAGAAGAACCGATTGTGTCTGTACGCTCGTAAGCTAAATGCCCTCACGGTCAAGGACGTGTATCCGCTGCCGCGCATCGAAGGTCTGCTCAGTCGGTTAGGGGATACGTTCTTCATATCCAGCGTGGATCTCAAAGACGCGTTCTGGCAGATACCGTTAGATGCATCTAGTAGGGAGAAGACTGCATTCACGGTGCCGGGGCGACCACTTTACCATTTTACGGTCATGCCTTTCGGGTTGTGTAACGCAGCCCAAAGGTTATGTCGTCTGATGGACAAAGTGATCCCTTCAGCACTTCGTGATAGAGTTTTCGTCTATCTAGATGACCTTTTGATCGTATCTCCAGACTTTGAGACTCACCTGGAGTTGCTGGATCGGGTAGCGCATTGCCTGGATTCGGCGGGTCTGACCATCAACGTAGGGAAGTCGAAATTTTGCTTCAAGGAGTTGAAGTACCTAGGGTATATAGTAGGAGGAGGGAAGTTAAAACCTGACCCAGATAAGATCGATACGATTTTAAAATATACCTACCCGAAAACCGCCAAACAGGTCCGAAGCTTCATGGGAGCTACGGGTTGGTATAGGCGCTTCATCCCCGACTACGCTACCATATCAACACCTATTTTTAACACCCTTAAGAAAGGAAAAGGTTTCAACTTTCCAGACGAAGCTAAGGAAGCCTTCGACAAGCTAAAGTCCGCCCTCACAACAGCACCAGTGCTTATGCATCCCGATTTCCACAGGCACTTTTATGTCCAATGCGATGCATCAGACATAGGTTTGGGAGCAGTTCTGTTCCAGAAGGACGAAAACGACGGCGAACATCCAGTAGCCTTCTTCTCTCACAAATTGACCAGTGCACAGAAGAACTACTCGGTTACCGAGAGAGAGTGCTTGGCCGTAGTGATGGCCATTAAGAAATTCCGGCCTTATATAGAACTTTTGCCATTTACAGTCATCACGGACCTTAGCAGCCTAAAATGGCTTATGTCCCACAAAGACCTCAGTGGCAGACTAGCCCGATGGAGCTTACATCTACAGGCCTTTACCTTTACCATCGAACACCGGCCCGGATCCAAAAATATCGTTCCCGACACATTGTCGAGGTATGACATGGAGGAAGTATCTGTGGAGGTAAATAACTTAATAGATTTAGAGTCTGAGTATTTCAAAGGTCAAAGTTACCTGGACTTAATCGCCAAAATCAAGGAAAATGCTGAAAGCCTGCCTGATTTGAAGGTCGTGGATGACCTGGTTTATAAGCGGGTACTCCCATATGACGGGGTGCCGCTAAACGAAGATTTTGCCTGGAAGTTATGGGTTCCACTAGAGCTTACTCAAGAAGTAATTGTGAAGTGCCACAATCCGCCTCAAGCCGCTCATGGAGGTTTTAGTAAAACGCTCCGAAGGTTAAGGGAATATTTCTACTGGCCCAACCAGAATGTTCAGGTCCGATCATTTGTGGCCAATTGCCAAACCTGTCGCGAGACAAAACCCTCGAATTCGATCCTAAGACCACCAATGGGAGCTGAATCTACAACGGAACGACCATTCCAGAAGATCTTTATAGACTTTTTGGGGCCTTATCCACGGTCAAGAAACGGAAACGCTTACATATTCATCGTCCTAGACCACCTAACGATATATGTACTGCTCAGAGCTATGCCGAAAGCTAAAACGAAAAACGTCATTAAGTTTTTAATATCCGAAGTGTTCCACAAATTTGGTACACCTGAGACGATTTGTCCGATAATGGCAAGCAGTTTATTAGTAAAGGTTTCAGGATATGGTAACGAATTTTGGGTTAAAGCATGTAAAAACTGCCACACACTCGCCACAAGCCAACGCTTCGGAACGGGTTAACCAGTCCATCCTGTCCGCAATTCGTTCCTACCTGCAGGAGGACCACACTGAGTGGGATAAGTACCTGTCCGAAATTGAATTTTCGCTGCGGTCGTCAGTCCAAACGTCTATTGGAGTTACGCCGTACTTCGCACTGTTCGGTATGAACATGATTTCGCACGGAAGTGTATATAAGCTTGCTAAGAAACTACAATGTCTTCATGATCCGGAAATCGACATAGTACCAAAACCCGTAAAAATGGACTTAGTACGGCACAAAATTCGTGAGAATCTGCACAAAGCATATTTGAAAAACGAGAAGACATACAATACCCGTTGCCGTCATGTCAAGTTTGTACCAGGTCAAGAGGTTTATCGCCGCAACTTCCAGCAAAGCGATTTCAAAAATTATTTTAATGCTAAACTAGCCAAGAAATTTTTAAAATGCCGAATTGTCAGACCTATTGGTAATAGCCTATACGAGGTTGAAGACCTTCAAGGAAAATCGTTGGGGGTATTTCATGCCAAAGATTTGAAACAATAGTTTCAACATCTTTGGTGGTTCTAGTCCCAACGATTATACCTACTCCTAGCTCGAACCTAAATGATCAAACCTATTTTATTTTCTGTATTTCGTATAAATGAGTTAGTAGATACTGTTCTACACAAAACATTTTGTTAATGATATTTTGCCTTGATTATATTTAACACTTTGTTTTCTTTTTTTAGTGAAAGCCTACGACCAGGGAAGTGTTGTGGAACAGTGTTGTGGAACAGTAAACAGTCGTGATAGTTTGCCCGTTAACGAGTAGTTCGCCGAGTGCTCAACCAGACTAAATCTATTAATTTTCGTTTATGACCACGTTGTGATCGTCAGACGCTAGTCATAGATGCAATTCCGTCATAGCACCCTTTGGAACCATGCACTCAGGGTTAGGAATTATTAGTCATCTAAGCGTTGACTAAAATTTAGCAATTTGAATTGTCTGGGAGCGAAGCTGCGACGAGTATCCAACAAGCGTTTCGGGTAGAAACACGTGAATTACTCGTTAACAGGGAAATCTATCGCTACGGTAAGTTGTTCTCACAACACGAACTATTCCTGGCAAAATAGTTTTTTCTAATGGAAAATTTTATGATGTTAACGATCACGAAATAAGGCAATATATCTATAGTTTGTTTTTTTATCTATCTTGAATACTAAATCTACTGTTAGACTGAACAGAATAACTTAAAATTAGATGTTAATAATAGAAATGTAAAATTTTCACTTACCGGTTAAATTTCCGTTGACTGGAGAAATTTTCCTCTCGATCTTACAGTTGGCTAGTTCTTCAGGAACCAAAATTGGATGATTAAAACCTGTGAAAGGAAAAACAAAACAATTAGTATTTGGTCTAAAGTAAATTTTGATGATACAAGTCATTTTCAATATCTAATCATTTGATTTAGATAAGTTCAGTATTAGTTAGTACTTACGTTTTTAGAATAATAATTGGGACCATATACCGCCTTCAGTCTTCCGGTCCAGGTCCCATCTGAATTTCTAACCTGGGGAAGAGAAACCAAATATAGTTAGTTAAAATAATTTAGTTTTGGGTAATCTTCTAAAAGGACAAACTGAATTTCAAGTCAAAATCCATTTTTTTTATTTATTATTCCTTTTAGGAAATTACACTTTATATATATTTTTCCTTTTTTTTTTCAAAATAATTTTATTTTTGAATATTTTTACTTTTATTTCCGGAGAAATTGTAAGAGGTATTTCTCGCCAAAGTCTCTAGACGTTAGTCTATGAGCTTTGGTGTACTTAGTCCTTACATTTCTACCAAATTCCTACGATTAAGTCCTGAATATAGAGAAAAAACTTAATATAAGTGAAATTATGTTTCATTTTATATTATTTAGTTTTAGGTTTATTACTTACCTTTTCTGAACGGAAGCAGCAAACCAAGGCCAAATCGCAGGTCCAATTGAATTTTATTGGCTGAAAGTAAAAGAAAATTTATAAAATTATTAATTTTGAATTAAAGCAAAAAAATATTTTAATTGGAGAAATTATTTTATTTTCACTTTTCTTTTATTTTATCCATTTAGGATCGGTTTGATTTTTTTTAAGTTTTCTTTATTAATTTTTCTTTTGTTTTGGTTTCAAGAGGTTTTGGTCACTGTTCACTTCATTTTTGTTTACACAAATAATTTTGTTTTAAATTTAACTGATTCACAAATTCTGATGGCCACTGTAAATTTTCAAACTTTAGTTTCCGTTTGTCACACTTATTAGATCCAGTCACTAAAAATTTTCACTTTTTTTACACCCACTGTATTTGGAGAAAAAAAAAACAGTTTAAAAAAAAAATTTTTCCACTTCACTTTTGGTTCTCACTGTATAAGTTTTTGTTCATATTTCACTTAAACAACACACTTTGACAAGTTTCACGAAAAAGAGTTTTTTTTTTCAAAAGTTAGTTTTTATTTGGTTACTTTTTGTACTCACGGTATGTTCCAACTTCACTTTAAATAAATTTTAAAATTTTTAATTTTTTTTGTCCGTACACTTTTGACACTAACGGTAAATTTTGATCAAATTAATTTTTTTTAAATTTTTCTCAATTAAATTTTTCTTCTTTTGTCTGTTTACTTTTTACACGCACGGTAAATTCCAAAATAATTTTTATCCGAATTCACTTTTCCAAAACCCGAACCGAAATTATTTTAAATGAATTAAATTTTTTTATTTTATTCGATTAAATTTTTTTTTTACCCGGCACTCACACTTTTAACGCACACTGTAACCAAAATTTTTTTGTATGCACCGAACCACATTTTAATTTTCACTAAAGTCCACTTTTTATATTTCAAATATAATTCATTACACTTACCTTAAATTTCCGGAACCACCTTAATGCCTAGTCCACCAGCCAATCTGGAACAAAACCTGAAAAATTTAAAACAAAATTATTAGAAAAGTTTATATAAATAATTAAAATAATTTCCACATTTTTTTTTACTTACCATTTCATTCTGCTTCGATCCGCCATCTTTCAGAATCGGCCATCAGTTTTTTATATAGGCCCAAGGCAGCCAACATGATCCCTGTAAAGAAAAGAAAAATTTTAGTTGTGTTAGTTAACAACACCACTAATAAATTTTTCTATCACTATGTTTTTGTAACTTACCTTATTTAAAATCCCCTTATACGGCCATAGAAATCCATCAGAACCTATAAAGAAACAAAGAAAAAAATTATTACGTTTTTTTGAACATTTAAAAGTAGTATTTTTATTTAATTTATTAAATATTTACCAAAAAATTACCTACCTCGTTGTTTCCATTGTTAATTTTTTTGTTTGGGTGCTTCTTCTTCACACACGCGTAGTATTTTTCTTATTTGCCTCCTCCTTTTCCATTCATTCAAGCAGCTGTTCACAGTACGTCGCCGCCTGACCAGTTTTTTACGGCGGTACAGAGTTGTACTTTTGTTCTCGAATGCATAAGGGTTGCCAAAGTGCAAATTTTTTGTATGGGAATAATGAAATACCCAAAATCCCAGAAAAGTTTGGGACATTAGGGCAGTTCAGAAAAATTAGGGTTTGTCGTGTGCACCCTGTAGTAGAGCTACCAAATTAAAGAAGAAGCACACAAAACAGGTGGCAACAGTAAGAAAAGGGGATTTTTTTGTATTTGAAAAGAAGAAGAAGAATTGAAAACAAAAACAAATAGCTTTAGAAAAAAAATTGTAAATAGGCAAACAAATTGCTGAACAAGTTGTTAAAGCTAGGAAGCCATGTTGGTAACCGAGGGTTCTCGGTACCAAAAAGGGAAAATGTCGTTCCTTTTTGATTTTTGCTCGGAGAGAAGAAGAAGGTGGAGTCTGTGGTCATCATAAAAAAACTAAACTTTTTTTATAAATTAAATAAAGTTTATTAAAAAAAATTAAAAACTTAAAGCTAAACTTAATGCTAAACTTAAAGCCACACTTAAAACTAAATCTTAAAATATAAAAATAAAAACAAAAGAAAAACGAACAAACCTGCAAAGCCAATGCAACACGACTCCATCCAACGAGGGAGAAACTGTTTTCCAGCACCACCACGCCTGGGGTGCTCTGGTATCAGTTTTTGGTTTTCCGACTAAGTAATAGATTTTACCTGGGCGACAAGACGGACGGTCAACTATTCCTTTTCTTTAGAAAAAATTCTTATTAGTTAGGATAAAATATCTTTATACAATAGGAAATCCTTACCCCGTGTTGTCGTATCGTCGCCATCCCGCGTGAAGTTCCAATTATATCCACGCGTGCGCGAACATTAGAGTAGAGCTCTGGCCTAGAATATAGTAGTTTACGGTGTTTGTTAGATAGTTAGATAGTTTCCTGAAAATAAAAACAAAAATAGAAAAAAATAAATAAAAGGAATAAGGTAAAAATAGATAATATTTTGTTTACTTACCTGGTTTACCCGAACGGACCTTAATACGGACGGACAGGAAAGCCTCAGCCGCCAAAAGAACTCTTCCGCTCTATAGTTGCCTCCAGTAAACCAGCTAGTTGCCGCAGAGAAACAATTGCTAGATCCCGTTTATCCCCAAGCAGAGAAATTATGAACTTTTAAGAAACGTAAACATAAATTTGAGAACATAAATTTAAAACCTAAATTTAAACCTAAATCTAAACCTAAAACTAAATCTAAATCTAAACCTAAACATAAATCTAAAACTAAAGCTTAATTTTGAATTTTTAAAACCTAAATTTAAATTTAAATTTAAATCTAAAGCTAAATTGTAATTTTAAATATTAAAACCTAAATTTAAACCTGAAACTAAATGTTAAATTTTTAAAACCTAAATTTTTAAAGCTAAATCTGAAATTAAAACCAAACGAAATTTTAAATCTAAATAGTCTATTGTTATTGTTAAAGTCCGTTGAAATTAATTTCGATAATAAAGACTAAATTTTATAATGTTTAGATGAAATTTTTAAAAGTTTTAATCATTTAAAATGATCGGTTAAACAACATAAGCGGCGGTAAGTAGGGAAAGGAAAGTTTGCAGGGTAAATTTTGGGACATCCCTAATATTAGGATGTCATGGCGGGATTATCCAATCCCGAGTGGGAGGGTTTATCCTGGCACAACATCTGCCAGCTGTTATAGGACGTAGGTACGTTTCATCAGGGAGACAGACAGAAACCTACTCGGTTCCCCTTTATATTTTTTTCGTTTATTTCTTTTAGCTGGTATGGTTTTTATGTGTGTGTGTAGTTGTCTAGAGTGGTAGCAAGAACCACCCCCATCCGGCGAGCTCCAAGCCCGGCGAACGCGAGCATACCAGCGCCGCTACCACTCTGGCAACACTAGTTTCTTTTGTTTTGCACAACCACTACACTACAACTAAGTGATGTTTTTGGCCTTTTTCGTCCTTTTCTGTTATCTAAGGCTAAATGACCAAGTTCATCAACGACCTCCGCTGAGGATTTTATTATTGTATGATATGAGTATCAACTTTAAAAATATCGTTTTACACCATGGTTGGCGGTTTACAGAAATATCACCAATATTAAATTGATACAATTTTATAAAATGTCCTTAAATTTGTTCTTCTTTTTTTTTTACAAAATATTCTTATTGAAAATCACCTGTTAAATGACATGAGAGCTATTGGTTTTCAACCTATAAATACTTCGATGCCAACTCATTTTTCTTCAACCTCAAACTCGCTTTTGGACATTATTATTGTTGGAAATATTAAGAAAGCTTTGTTGTATGATCAAATTTCAGTGCCTCTAAACATGACTTATTGTTTTTTAACTATGACTACAAAAATCATGAGATTGCGAATTCAAATACATACTATGATTATAAAAATATTGATCACAACACTCTTGCTTTTGAGTTGTCGCTTATAGATTGGGAATCTATTTACTATATGTCATCTATCGATGATCAACTAAAGTTTTTGGAAGTCAACTTGGAACAAGTTTTTACCAAAATTGTGCCTCTAAAAACGGTTACAAGGAATTGCAGAAAGAAACTATGGTTCAATAATGATATCAGAAATGCAATCTTCCAAAGAGACAAACTTTATTCACGTTGGAAGCGTTTTAAAACAGCTGAATTACATGACGACTTCTGTACCGCTAGAAGACTAGTCAATAATAAGATAAAGAGTGCAAAGATTGCATACTATAGTAGGATTTTTACGTGTTCTATTGATTCAAAGAAAATGTGGAAGAATATACGAGATATCGGAGTTGGAAAATCCAAAGTTTGTGTTGAATCAGATGTTGACGTTGTAGCGCAAAAATAATTCCTATACCTAAGTCCAACGGTGATTATCGTCCAATAGCAATTTTGCCCTACTTATCAAAGGTCTTTGAAAAGCTTCTGCATATCCAAATATATAATCATGTTAATAATAATAATTTACTTACTGATCGGCAATCGGGCTTTCGAACTAAACACAGCTGTATAACTGCTCTAATTGATGTCTCGGAAGAAATAAGGAGCAATATTGATAAAGGTTTAGTATCCTTATTGGTACTTTTAGACCATTCTAAGGCTTTCGTTATGGTAAATCATGATATCCTTTGCATGAAATTAAAAAATCAGTTTACCTTTTCCCCATCTTCAACTCATTTAATATCATCTTACCTTACAAATCGTCATCAATTGGTTTGCGCTAATAACACAAGCTCATGTCTATTGCCTATCAAGAAGGGAGTTCCACAAGGCTCTATTCTTGTTCCCCTCCTATTTACCATGTACATTAATGATATAACACAACAAATATTGCACTGTAACTTACATATATATGCAGATGATGTACAAATTTACATTAGTGATCATGGTAAAAACATTGTTAATTGCATTCGAGAACTAAATGAGGATTTGGGTCGCATTTATAACTGGGCAGCTGCTAATGGCCTCTGTATAAATCCCAGCAAGTCAAAATGTATGGTTATCACTAATAAATCAGTAAGATCAAAGTTTGAACCGGTTATAACCATAAATAATCAAAGAATTGAAAATGTCGAAACTATGAAAAATCTGGGAATAATTTTTAACAATAATCTAACATGGAATGATCACATAAATGTAGCTGCTGGAAAAACGTATACTATGCTTCGAACCCTATGGAAAACTCAAATTTTTACACCTTTAGGAGTCCGTACATTACTTGCTAAAACTTTTTTAATACCTACGCTTATATACGGATGCGAACTTTTTTCATGCTGCGACTACACAAGCTATAGAAAACTGGAGATTGCATAAAATGCCATACTTAAATATGTGTATGGAATTCGAAAATTTGATCATATCACACCATTTAAAAGAAACTTATACAACATAACTTTTGTTAACCTGTTGAAAACTCGATGTCTAACCTTACTGCATAAAATTATCTATACTCATATACCCCCTTACCTCTTTAATAGGCTAGTATTTCTCAGATCCCGCAGGTCAATGAACTTAATGCATGTCAGATATAAAACTCTGACATCATCGTGGCAATTTTATACACAATCTACATTTGAAAAGGGCCTTATTTAAACATTTCTCGTAAAAGTTTCAAAACATCACTCAACACCTTGTTTTATTTTTTTTTTGAAATTACTCATATTTTTTTTTTGTTCCGATTTAATGTATAATTTTTTCATCAAAATTAATTGTTGCTATATGTTTTGTCAATATTTTTGTGCAGATATTTACCTTTAATATATCTTATTGTATTTACTATTCAATCTCAATTTTTCAATTTTCTAACCAATACTGTAACTATAAGATTTTTTTTAATGTCTTGTTGTATTGGATATCACATGGAAAATAAATAAATAATAATAAATTTTTCTTCCAGTTTCTCATCTTTTGTTAAAATTATTTCCACAATTAAACTATACTTTTCAACGTCACGTTCAATATTAATCTTGTCACATTTTCCTTTGTTCATTATAAGCCTAAGTTATATTTTTTTTCTTAAAACACAGGATTAACGGCAAAACAATAATAACAACTATATATAAAACAAGTTAGAGTGCTATATTCGGCTGAGCCGAATCTTAAATACCCTCCACCAGCTACTTTTATATTAAAAGTTTTTTAGTTGATCAAATATTTGTAGAAATAAGTTTTCTCATGTCTTAAATAGAAAAACAACAAGATTTAAACAGCTTAAATCTGTTACAATTCCAAAATTTGTTGAACATTACAAACCCCATTTTCTTTTATATTTTTATAGCGCCCTTAGATATGCTTTAACGATATTTAATAATGTGCATGTATGCATGTGTGTGAAAGACTTAAGGACTTGCAAAATACATATATATAATTTTGTTCTACACAAATTGTTTTTAGGGGCAGGACCTAGTATGGGAGATAT